AGAATCCAAACTTTTTTAAGTAGTGAAGCATTTGAATCCCAAATATAATAATTTTCAAAGAAATGAAGGCTACTCTCTTTTCAAAAAACTGCTGTTAACACTTGTTAAATGAAAAAAACACTAGATGGAGCAACTATCCTATTTTAACATGTCTTTCTCTTCAAAGGGCATAAATTCTCTTTCGAATCTGAGGATTAACATTATATCCATAACAATGTTATGACAAATAGACTTTCCTTGGAAACATTAGGAAGCATGTACAAAGTTCTTTAATAAATGGCAAAGAGAGGTATCTTTGGACATTATTTAAGAAAATTAATATTATAAGTATGTTAAAATTAAATGTTAAGCAGCTTTAACCTGTTTGCTATTTAAAAACCTACTGTGAACAGAGTAATTTTCAGATTTTTCTATGCTACACAACTGACCTGTTTTTCCCAGAATACGTAAATACCATGAAAATGAAAACATTATCTTGCAACCCTTTCTCCCACTTTTTTTTTTTGTCCTAAAACTTCAGCTGTGTTACATTTATCTCTAGTCCTAATGCCTAACTTTCAAGACCGTTATTATACAGCTCCAATTATGTTTTCCTTCCCAGTTTCAAATTAATCCCTATGACCAGTAACAGAATTTAGCACATGTCTGAATTATTCTGACATTTTGAAGCATTATTTCTGAGGTAGTTTCAAACTTTTTTTTTTGGGGGGGGGGGGGAGGGGGGGAATGTCTGTTTCTTATCTCTGCTTTCCACCACTGAAGGTAAAAAGTTGCTTTATAAGGAGAGAAAAATCAACAGGTTCTTTCCCATGCATTTATGTCACAGTGTACTGGGGCAATGAAAATGTAATGTTCACTCCTGTGTATGCTATTGGTCTAGAAGTCAAACCGCTTTTCCCTAGTTTCTTCAGTATAAATGGAGACTCTCATATTTCTAATCCTTCCAAAGCACTTGGAATTGTAAAAAATAAAAAGCATTCTAGAAAACTTGATGCTTCAGTCTTAGCCATCTGTTGGTTCTCCTCAGCTAAGTAGCTGGAGACTGTACTCTTACACAGTCCACTAAAGCAATATTCACAGAATATCCAAACTATTCTTTCTTCCTCCTTGAAACTAAGCACCTGACAATTGATGCTGCAGTTGCAGTGCATCTTTAAGACATCCTATAGTCTTTCTAAAACATTTAGATCACAGGAAAGCAAATCTGGAGCACGAATCTTTCCAAACACATGCCAGTGGAGCCTGGTGCACTTATTTCATGCATACTCTTTTACAGCAACAACACTGACTAAATCTTGAGAACACATGAAAGAAGCTGACAAAATGTAGAAGCATTATTCACCACCTCAAAAAAGCCTCAACTGCCAATGTGCCTTTCTCCCCCAATACCCAAAATACCAGGCAATAGCATGCAGTGTGTTGCACTGTGACTGCGCAAGGAGGCCAACACAATCTGGTTATGCACCTTCAGAAGCTTCTGGCAAGCATTCAATAATTGCTGCGGGTTTTTTTCAGTAAAACAAAAACTAAGCAGTACAGAACCATCAACCCTTAGTCATTAAGTGCTCAGAGAAAATTTTGAATATAACACACACACATACAATATAGAACGATGTAGGAGAGGTAGGTTGAGAACCCCCATTCTCTTAGTTTATTTAAAAAAACAAAAGATAAGCAGTATTATGGCTTTGTTTCTTCGTTGGTGTCTAGTTACCAATGCACACAGACATTTCAGATGAGCACCCAGATTATTTTTCTTTTCCCATTCTTATGCTTATTTTCGATATAAATTTATTATGCTGGACAGAGACAACAGCACACTGTGAAATGTATTAATTTCTAAGACTGCATTTTCATGTTCTAATAAAAGCAGTCAAAATAACCATCATTCTAAGCTGAAACTCCTTCCCCAAAGTTTCCTCTCAAAGTGTTTCTCTGAAGCTATTTATTGACTTGTTCTCCTGCTCTGGAACACCCATTTGAACTTTCTAGAAAGGAAAGGTACATAAGTCTTTTTTTTTTGGCTGTTCAGTTAGAAATGCCAAAAATATTATCTAAATGGAAAAATTCCATTCAGATAATATAACCTTCATTCATCCTACTGAACAGCTGTGGACATTTCTAACATCATTTACTTTGCACATTACCATATTATATGTGCACTCATAGGTATTCAGTGAACAGTCATGCTGAACTAGTTCTCATATGATGGTATGACTGAACTGTTAAAACAAATCTTGTAACTCCTGCACACAAAGCAATATTCCAGCTAGCTATACCATATTAAAGTGTATTAAACAATGAACTCCCTTCTTTCTGCTAGAATGCAGCTTTCTTTCCTACCAGATCAAAATAAAAATCTAACCTGTGCAGCAAAGAAAAGGACTCTGATTTTTAATATATATAAGAAACCACAGCTTACTCTATTATCTCAAGACATCCTAGGCAAAGACTGAGAACTACAGACTGTTCCAAGGTTCATATCTTGACTCTTATCCAAAAATTAAACAGAACTTGTATGGTGATTGAGTATATTTTAGATAGCATAAAATGTAAATCAAAACCTCTTGAAACCTAGTATGCAATGGTAAAAACATTAACATTCTGTAAATTTGGTAGCAGATCTGCCAATAGCATAGCTGCAAGGAATCATAGTCTCATATTTGATAATATATCCTGTTTTCTGTACACGGATCTGTCAAACATATAAAACCTTGCTAGCTGCAATACTTTACACAGACATCTAAAATACTTAAAGAATTTACAATTCTAAGTTTGTATAATACAAGGTATTTCTGAACATAAATAGCTCCTATAATCCAGATAATTCCTGCCCTCTGGTAGTTTCCTTACATGACAGCTCAGAAGTCTGTAGTCTGCTCTACCCTGACAATTTTACTTTCACTATTAAGACAAATCAAAAGAATATGAGCAAGAAGGAAAATATAGACTAATACTACATACTTAGTAGATGAGAGGAACTTCTGTGGCAAATTGGACTCCAATTCTGTAATAATGCATATCTATTTATGGAAACAACTTTCTTGAAGAATGGTAAAATATATGTTTAAAAAAATCACTCTCATTCATTTAATTTTAGCTATGATAATGCTTTCCTTTATAACAGCAGACTTGCAATTCACTTCCTTATATTTATGTCAAGTAAGATCACTATTAAAACATTGTTTGGAAAAAAGTGAAAAGTTTTAAAATACCAATTATTGAAATACTTTAAAATTTCAGATAAATTTTCCTTCTTAGTTTTTCAACTTCAAAATTAGGAATGCCAATATTTTCATGGCAGGGACCATACCTTAAAAGTGGATAACTCTTGCATAAAAGACAACAGGACCTCGATCCTGTTTGAGACCTTTTCACATTACCACTGAAACACTGACAAGAATAATATAATGTCTGTTAAGTAGAAACATTGCCATCTAACAATTCCTTGAATAAATTCAAGAATTGTGAGTCTGCTAATAGTCATTATTCTGAGTGCTTGGGAATATATTACCAAAATATAACTCTCGCTATTATTTAATGGTAACCTAGGATACGTCAAAAAGACAGATTCCAAATCAGGTCTTTGAAGATTAGATTCAATTCATTCAAATTTAGCTAACAAAGTTACTTAGTCTACACACTTTCTATAGGAGTCGTAGTTATTCAATTTAAGAAAGAGGGGGTGAATCACTCTACTTATATCACATATGCATCATTCTTCAATAGTAAGGCTAAACTAGAAACCTTACTTTTAGAATGGTCAAAGAGGGGTTAGATAAATCCAACTTCAGATGTCTATGTATAAAAAAGGTGCCTCTAAGTATCTATTGTTTCAACAACACACTCCTTCAACTAAAAAAAAAAAAGTCAGATTTCTCCTACTCTTAGTATATTTAATTCTTCTTAATAAGTTATTTCCTTATAAAATAGTCTTTATCAGTAAAAACACATTGAACTAAACAAAGATATTTTCTATAAAAATGAGACACCGAGTGCAGTTTTACATTCCTTTCAGTCCTTGAATCTGTTACCTTGGAATTAATGTTTATCTTTACATCAAAAAACATCTCCAAAACAAACATTGCAATGAGTGTTTGGGAGTCTAGCTTCTTAGCATCTCATTCAGAAATTCACTGCTTGAGCCAATTCTACTTAAACTCATCAGAAATTTTTCTTGTAACTTTAACAAATGTTCAGTATTAGCCTAAAATCCCTTGTCACTTGTACTTGAGTTGCACAGGAAAAAATCTGAAAATAATGGTAATGCATGTTTCACCAAATATTAACTCTGCATCTGAAGAACTGTTATTTCTACTTCTGATGCACAACCCAGAAAGAATATAAACTGAACTTTAGAAACCAGGAAATAGCTGTACTAGTAGTATTCTAACTATTAAAAAACTCTTTTTAAAGATTTTTAAAAGCTGAGAACTATCGGAATGCTTTTTGTCCTTCAAGTTTCAAGGCTATAATCAAGTGGAACCCCCACAATACCATACATAAGGACTTCTACCGACTATAATTATTATCCCAATGCTATTGACATGATTAACATTCTCTACTGCAAAATAGTTGGACTCGAAGCACAAAAAAATCCATAACTCATCCTGAACAAAGAAAGATAATAATCAATGGGTACCTTAGCAGAGAACAGAAATATAATTTTAACCTTAAAAAAGTATTCAGCAAATTATTCCAGTCAAATGATTATTTTTGCATTCTCATCCAAACTATCAGTATTCTCTCTCCATCTCTTAATTATTCTCACCTCTTCCTAATTTCTGAATCCACAAGGAGCTGCCTTTTTTTGTGGGGTGGAGGTGGTGGGAGTTCCTCTTTAGCATGCTTAACCAGGATTTGTTCTCTTGTGGTCACCATAGTTACACTTTCCATTACAGTTCTCTGTGTTAGTGATGTCTGAGTAGTAGTGACAGCCTGCGAAATCTGTGAGAAGTATAAAAAGAGAGGTCACACATTGTTTGAAAGACTTCAGTAAAGACTGTTTGGACTAGTAATAGAAAATAATGAGAAACTGCTCCTCTCTGATCATAAACTGACCTTCAGAAAAAATAACACTATACGCAACTCGAACCAAATTGTTTTATCTGACTCATGCTGTGTGAAATAAGATATCTGCAGAAGTCACTATCAAAATCAGAAAGGATCCTGAACGGAATGAACTTATGGCTACCCGTAAGTAATGCTGAATGAAGAAAATAAATGAATGGTCAGCTTTATGAGGGAATTGAATGATAGCAAATATATAAAATGTTACTATTGCTATGATCCTCTCCCTCCATTCTGAAAATCTATTCCTTGAGAAGTACTAAAGGCATGGTAATAGCATTAAATTACCAATTGTTATTTTTACCATTTATAATAAATTTCAAACTAGAATGTCATTCATGACAATCTACTTGCACAAAAGGGCAGTTAGATTTCTGTCAGGAAATCTTAAATTAGAAAACATACACTAGAAGGCATATCAATTTGCATCAGTTTTATTCCATAATTAACTAATGTTAAAGGGTCATAACAGATACTAATACACGTAATATGTAACACTGTAAACATAACAATCTAATGCATTTAGCTTTGATCAGTAATATGAAAACAAACCCTCCATTTAATTCAGCTGCATGAAAAAAAAAAGGAATTATGAGAAATAATTTCTGCTCACATTTGTTTCAAAGATAGTGTCTGTACATGTACTGCTTGTTTTTATTTGTTTCCATATAACACCAAACTACAAAATTTCCACTTAAACATGTTCTTAAGTCCCTTAACTCACAAGAAATGGGTCAGTTCTTTTTTTGGTTCTGTCAGATGACGGTTCATTTGTCAAAATGCTCTAGTTACAGCTCCAATGACCACCTCACAGTATAGGGGCAGTGAAATGAAAAATAAAAGGAAGAAGTTACACCAGGAGCAGGAAAAGCTGTGCACCAGAAAATCCCTGCTTCTTTGCTTATTGCCAATGTGCAAGAATTAAGAATACTTTCCAATTCAATGCCAGGAATGCCCGTATCTAAAATTCCATGAAACTATAGACACACACTTAAATTATCTATTCGTTCCTGCATCAGAAAGTTGGTAAGAGAATTGAGTTACTTCAGTTTTGAGACCTTAGTGTTTCTATAAACAATGAAGAGATAATGTATACCAGGTAATTAACTATAACACCTTTCCCACAATGCTTTCATATACTGAAAAAATAGAGTGACAAAGGGGATACTGTTAGCAACCAGCCTCTTCTCAGCAGGCAACATCAGTAATGCTAAAACAACCTTAAAAAAAAAAAAAGGAAATTCCTGCCAATATTGCTAAATCTTTCACATCATCTTCTAAAAAAAATGTCTTCCTGTTCTTTTTCCAGTCTGCCAGTGGAAGTAATGAGTGGGGAAGTCCACTGCCACTGTCATTTTGTCAGTCTTTCTTACTTAGAGCAGTCAGCTCAATGCTATGCTTCCCCCTCTAGAAATGACCAGCTGTCTAGGCTTTAGAGCAGAATCTGGACTAGTCAGAAGACTACAAAATTAAGATTCAGAGCAGATTTTTTTTTTTAATCTCTGGATTAATTATGTCAACTGGAGTAAGCTGCTTGTGAAATGCAGGGACTTAGCTAACGTATGAACTACATAAATTCTTTGGAAGTGAAAAACACCCAGTTGACTTCTTAATCACCACAATATTATGGATTAATACTCTTGTTTATTTTCCCTCAACAAGATGTATTGAGTTTGATATTTACATCAGCAAGGCCAGGCTGGATGGGGCTTTGAGCAACCTGGTCTAGTGGAAGGTGTCCCTGCCCATGGCAGGGGGGTTGGGACTATATGGTTTTTAAGGTCCCTTCCAACCCAAATTGTTCTATGATTCTATGATCTACAGAAATCATGACTATATTAAGTAAACATTTCCATATGTTTTATTAAAACTTTATATAGCATTCTTTTCAATTTTATTTTAAATTAATTTGGGGGCGGAGGAGCAGAAAGGAAAAGCAAATTAAAGCTTCTGATTTCTAAGTTTCTATGAAATTTGAGCATAACACCTGAGTCATCTTTCCTTGAGTTGACTCTGTAGCTAAGAACACTCCAAATAATTGCTTGCTCCTTATATGCAGTTTTGAGTACAGTCTCCCTTTCCTTTTCTCACAAAATTCTTATTACACTCGCTTTTATCCAAAAATCAATGATAGGATGATGTTTCTGACACTAAGGTCATATCCTGTCACGTTTCCATTTGCCAATCAATATCAGGGTAGAGTTTACAGTGAAATAGTTCTAAAACAAGATAAACCACATCTAGGGCACTCTAGATATCATCTGCATCATACTACCAATTACAAAGGAATTACAGTTTCTGCTGGTGATTGGGAACTGTGCTTCAAAGGCAAGCAGTGCAATTGCCATATGCTCAGAGCAGTCAAGTCACGATGCTGTGGCAGGTAATGATTTACATGTCAAAACAGTAAAGAAGTATTCTTCATGCTTAATCAATAGGTCTGGAGGTTAAATACTATATACTTCAAAATGAGAACTGAGATGTAAATTTGAAGTTCATAATCATTCTAATTAGAGACTGAGGAAGACTAAAAGGAACTGAGGATTACACTGCAATATAACTCTGTAAGAAAAAGTTGGTTCACATTTAAGGAGTGTACACACTGTAGTGGGTAAAGGTCAATCCTTAATAATATAAGGAAGTAGCTTTTATTAGCTTCCCTGGCAAAAAATAAAAAACAACCACCTCTTAAATCTAATCACTGAAGAGGTATTTCATGTATTATTCAGAGATGATCCAAATTATGACAAAATATTTTCCTTGTCCCTCTCAGCTCAAGACAAGCAAATATGAAACAGAAGGGACGATACAGACTAGGCCTTTAACCCACTAGAAAATCATATGGAAAGTGCTAAGGTGACTCACAAGGCTGCACATTAAAAGGCTTTCAAAATACAATGCTTGCCTGCAGTTTCACATCAGCAAGCTCATCTTAGAAACATGTTAAAACTCATCTCTTTTTGGAGTGGAGAAATTTAAATCTTCCTTTTCATCCTCTACAGGCAAACCTATGTACAATGTGTGTATAGCACTTCAGTAGTTTTATGGCATTTTATTTCTCTTTTATACGGCAGCCTACCTTTAATGCCACCATTTATTACTGCCTTTGGAAGTGCCCTCCATCCTGATAAACTCATAATTTTCCTTAACACTCACTTTTGGAGCTGTCATCCATTCTTTGATGAAATGTATGCATGTGAGGAGGGAAGTTCAGATGAGGAATGGTGTTTTCTTTAGTTTGGGAAGGTTTTCAGTACAATTTAGTGAAGCATAATGAACACAACAAAGGTGGGTTTAGAGTTTCTATAAGCTATGCATCTAATCTAAGCAAGTTGTCCTTGTCCTTGTTTCTACTATGTGGTCAGTGAAGGAAAGTTGACATTTTCATGATGAGGACAAACTGCAATTTTAGCAGTATCTCTCTCTCAGAAACAAAAATGTAATTATGAAGGTACTATGAGAATTATTAATGATGGAATAAAGTTCATTTTGAAGTCAATATCAAAGTTGGATAAATAAAATGTGCATTTTCTAATAAATTATAGTGAAAAATTTTGTATTTGCTACCCTCTTCCAATTCCCTTCCTCTCAGGCTCATGACTAGAGAGAATAATTATATCTTTTAGAGGCATTTTTTTCTCGCAGTTTAAATGTATAAATGAGCTCTATAACAAATAATTGCATAAACCCCACTAACATTATCTGCCCTGCCTATGCAGAAACACGTGGCAAAAAGTACACCATCAGTATTTCATAAAGGACTTATCAGAGCAGTGAAATGGTGCCTTAGGAAGTGGGCCTTCAGTTAGTGCCGAACGTGCGATGTCTCCAGAATGTTAATCAATACACCCACAACAGCATACCAACTCCGTACCAAGCAAAGTAGCTTCTCCTTGGAGGAAAAGCTTATCAACTGAAGTGTGCTGCTATGGTAAGACAGTTACAGTTTTGTGAAACCTAAGCATCTCCCACCTGTGCTGTTCCACGATGTATGGATGCACAGCCTCAGGATTTCTCACTTCATGGGGAGGCTATCTTTTCTGTAATCTAAGTTCCATTTTCAAAACTGGTATCTGCTCTTAGGACCAATCAACAGTCTAAATAACTCTTGAATAGTTTGGAGTGACTTACTAACTTCTTCAAATCATATTACCCTAGCCATTCCAAATTCAAAATGCATGACTGGATTTTCCTTTGCATCCAAACAACAGGTTTTCTACACCAAATATAAAAGAGTTAAATCAAATTTTCCATTGTTATAAATGCTGTGTAGCACAAACTGGTTTTGCCTTCTGTTACTAAATGAAATTGTACCCCTTCCTCATTTTCTTCTGTTCTCCCAAACTAGTTTTCCCCACTTCAGCTACACAAGGAACTGTATCACAGAGCAAACTAAAAGATGAAGGTATAAGTTGGAAGCAAGGTTACTAAGAAGTATTCACATCACTACAAGAAGTATAGCAGCTTTCATTTAATTACCCAAACATAAGTTGGTAGAAGCATTAGTATATAGTAACAAAAAAGTGCAGCATGGTGAAGGGACTTGAATCAAACTGACCAGAACTATGAGAGGGCCTCTAGGGACAGGACAGAGGTGCATGCAGTAACGTTCTGCTCTGTGTTATCATTAAAAATTCTTAATGTCCATTTTCATTTCACCAGTCATGCAACGATAGCACAAAAAAACTCAATGAGATAATGGAATGGAAAAAAGTGAGCTGATTTGGGTTTAAACACAATAAGAAAGAGATATTGACATGTGGCTACAAAAAATAAATGCACAATTGGGTTTTGTTATCTGGTTTAACTAATGTGAAACTTTAAAACCTCAATTTCTTTTTTAATATATTACAGTCAACATAAAGGAGCTGAACAAAATAATAGCAGTCTATTCTTTTTTAATTGGAATTTTGGCTACAGGTGAGGATTGATTTTTTTATTTTTCCAAGAAGCTTCTCTTTTTATGGCCTCTTTTTAACCTGCAAATCAGCATAACTTAAGTGGAAGTAAAAAAGTAATTTATTATAAACTTTCACTGTTGAAAATAAATAAAAATAATTTCTCTTTAACCAGCAAACAGTTCTTACACTAATTTCAGACTAAGTGCTATTCCACAGAGACAGCCACAAAAACAGAGCATTCATTTGAAGTGACCAGCTATCATAGGTTAAAAATAAATTAACTGGAAAGAGTACTTTCATTACGTATTGTATCATCCCTAAAAACATAGTTAAGTACCCAAGAAAGTAATCAATGCTATAGAGACAGATCAAAAACTAAAGAGATAAATAAAATTCTGGAAAGTTATATTACAGTTGTATATAGTACAGCTGTCCTAAAAATAAAATATCTTAAGCAATCATGAAGGGAAAAAAATTAAAATAATATGACAAACAGCACCAAAACTGTATCAGGCATTTGACTGGCAAAGGATTTGACAGTCACCAAGTGACAAAATGATGGTTTTAACAAACCTGTTTAGAATTGCTCTCCACCTTCTGAACAAGGCTATCCCAGCGCTGGGCAAAACTTTCAAGACGACTGTCTAGCTTTTGAGCCACTGATTTATTTTTCACAGTCATAAGGAGGTCTTGGCTGAGCGACTTCAGTTTACCCATCATTTGCCTTTTCATTTCTAGATCTCCTTTAAGAATCTGTTAAACAAAATAACATCAGGAAGAACAGTAACTCATACACAAAATACCCCAAAACCAACAAACCCAATGAACTTAGAAGAAAAATCCTAGAGAGATCATTATAAAGAACTGAAAATATGTAAGGGTATTTCATATGAATTTCTACACTACCATATTGCTGTTACTGTAAAAACTGCTGGCAGAGCTGACATAGTGGAATCGACACATTGCACTTCACAAGGCAATATAACATGACAGGTGGAGCAACTCCAGGCACCACAGCATGCCTCAGGTGTTGACATAAATCAAAAAGCTAACAGCTGTGTGACATTAATAACCTTAATACTGCACTAATATTAACAACTATATCAACATTTCAAATAATGTTTTCTTAAACTTTTTTTTTTATCTTTGTCATATATTGCGTATTAAAAGTCACTAGGAAAAAAACCTGTTTTCTAGAAAAATAATATTTGACCCCAAACCAGGATTAAAAAAAAAAAAAAAAAAAAGCTCAAAGAAAGTAAGTTTTGTTTTGATAGTCTTGAAAAATCTTGTATTTCTCATCTCCCTTGGATCTCGTCAGGCTCTGGCTACACGGCAGTAGCCCCCCACAGAATGTGGATGCCTTGGGAACCCCAGGATCTCTGCTGAGTGTGCCAAGGAAAGGGGCCTGCAGCTGGGAGCCAGGGAGCTCCCACATATAACCTTTGTGCTCTGCCAGCTGCTGGGCAGCCTGAATCCATGGATGATAATGGAAAAGGAGAAATCGTCAGTCTTCAGGCCTTTACTGCAGCAAACTTTGAAGGGAGCTTGAGACTTCTGAGATCTATACATGCAAACCTCTCTATGAAGCAGCCTCTTCAAAGATCCAAGAGTCATCCACAGCTCCAGTTCTCACCTGGGTTTGTTTCTTTAATGTCTCTACTGGTTTACTCCATTGATTTTCATACCTTAAGCGTTCATTATCAAATACTGGCCAAGTTTTTAACTCGCTATGCAGCTGATGATTGAAATCTAATCCCCAAAGTATGAAAGGGATAATTGAGCAAACATTTAGACAACAGAATTTACTTTCCAGTAGTCACATAATCCAGAATTATAAACTAAAATACAGCTCAGTAAAAGAAATATTCATAGTCTTTGTATTCAGTACTTTTTACATTCAGAGGTGATTTGAAACATTGTAGTTACTAATGTTATATTCAGTTAATATCAACATTTAAATTGACACATCCCTAAGAAATAGCAGCTAACACTTTAAGAATCTGTTTGCATTATAACAGATCTAACAGAGGGAACAGAGTAGATGTAAAACAATTTTCCATCTTAAAACTTCAAGGACTGCTAGATTTTACTTTTTTTTTTTTTTTTTTCCTACAGTGTCAGGAAAATCTCATGTGAAAACTACCACATACACTGACAGACTAAAAAAAAATGGTTCCCTATGAAACATGATTAGTGAATTCTGAACAGCAGTGTTCCATTTCCAACCTCCACAGCTGACAACAGCTGTATAATACACAAATGAGTTCAGCATCAAACCCAGATACATGAAGCATAATCAGTAATTGAAACACTAGAAAGAGGAGGATACTAAAACCTTCTGTGTCAAAGGTACCGCTCACTACTACCTAATACGCTTTTGTGATGGCTACAGTTAACTTATAAAAATATACTGGGGGATTCTGCTTTCACATCTCCTTAATGAAAACCTGGCAACGTGCTAAAATAAGCAGGAATATGCTCTAGGTTTTTTTGTTTTTTTGTTTCTGTTACAAGAATAGACCTAAAATACTAATGAGCTAGCAACAAAATATGTCTTTTACCAATCTGCAAGAGAACAAATAGTACTGTTCGCTTTATGAAATTCATTATCAGATAACTCAGTCATAACTTCTGTCAAGTGCATGCTGTAAACTCCAGTGTTTGAACATCATAAAGTAGCTTCCTTATTTGTTGGTAGTGCGCTTTTACTAGTTGTTTTTTGTTTTCAAGTTTTTAATTATTACTGGTTTTCTTTTCCTTAAACATCACCAAAAACTTTCTTTGCTCATTGCAATATTCTAATCATCAACATCTACTGTAACTGTTCAGCTGCTGAGATTTATTCCAGTAAAATAGAATGTAATATCTGATTTATCTCTTCTAATAAGTAAATAAATTTGCATTAAGGGAAGCAAGACATGATTTAACTATATTAATGGTGTAGTTACTATAAATCTACAAACCTAGATCTTGTATACCTTTGCAGTAGATCTCAAAATGTTTTACAAAAAGAGGAACACCATTACCTCTATTTTACAGGCTGCAAAACTTAGGCACAGGACGTGAAAACAAACTATGAAGTCTGTGCCATAAAGAACAGTACAATTTCACCACAGTCTGTCCACTAAAGTTCTACGTTCTCAGTGCATCATATGCACTCCAGATTAGTCCATGCTCTGTGTCACCTTTTGCCTTGTGTAAGAATTCAAAGACAATTATAGTGACAGTGAATAAATGATAGGTGGAAAATTTTAAAAATCCCAGTTGTTTTAAGGAAATATTTTTAGAACTAGAACTACCACCCATCAACATCATAAAAAAAAAAAAAAAATGAAGAAAAGTCAGTATTAATACATGCACAAAGTAGTAAAGCCTAAACAGTTTTTCCGACCTTTAGACTAAGCAAATCCCAGAAGAGAGTTAATGACAAAGGAGATAAATTTTCACATACAAATACCAAATAATTCCTCCGAAACAAGCCATCTGAGATTATTGAAACACAAAAATTTCTTGCAAAAAACAGTTTTATCTGAATAAAAATTCTTACAAATATAAAACAGGGGTACAGTATATAAATTAATAAGAAATCTAGCTGACTTGTCAATTTTAGCACGTCAGAACTCGGTGAATTGCTACACTAACTAAAAATATATTTTATCCATTAATTTCAATAACAATGAAAATGTGACCGCTAAAGCTGAGTAAAAAATAGGGACAACCTCTGCACTGGGTTTCCATGGCAAGATTCTGGTAGCAGGGGTCTGCAAGGGTGGCTTCTGTGAGAAGACATCAGAGGTTGCCCCCACATCGGCCAGAATCAGTTCCAGACAGATAAAAAACAGATCCACCCCTGACCAAAGTTAAGTCCATCAGTGGCTCCAGTGCTACCTCTGTGATAATATAATTAAGAAAGGGTAAAAAATTATGTACAGCAGCTGTAAGAGAGAGGAGTGAGAAAAATGTGAGAAACAGCCATGCAGACACCAGCGTCAGTGAAGAAGGAGAGGGAGAAGGTGCTCCAGGCACTAGAGTAGATCCCCCTGGAACCTGTGGTGAAGATCATGGTGAGGCAGGCTGTCTCCCTGCAGCCTGTGGAGGTCCACAGTGGAGCAGATATCCACCTGCAGTCCATGGAGGACCCCACAGCAGAGCAGGTGGATATGCCTGAAGGAAGCTGTGACCCTGTGGAGAGCCCACGCTGGAGCAGGTTCCTGGCAGGACCTGTGGCCCCATGGAGAGGAGCCCACACTGGGGCAGGTTTGTTGGCAGGATTTGTGGTGCCATGGGGGATCCAGATCGGAGCAGTCTGTTTCTGAAGGAGTGCACCCCATGGAAGGGACCCACGCTGGAACAGTTTGTGAAGAACTGTAGCCCTTTGGAAGGACTATACTGGAAAAGTACATGAAGGACTGTCTCCTGTGGCTGGGACTCTACACTGGAGCAGAGAAACAGTGTGAAGAGGAAGTTGTAGAAGAGATCATGTGTGACGAACTGACTGCAACCCCCCATTCCCATCCCCCCTGCACCACTCAGGGGGAGGAGATAAAGAAGATGGGAGTGAAGTTGAGCCTGGGAAGAAGGGAGGGGTGGGGGAGGAAGGTGTTTTAATATTGTTGTTATTTCTCATTATCTTACTCTGATTTGGTTGGCAATAAACTAAATTAATCTTCCCTAAGTCAAATCTGTTTGCTTGTGACAGTAATTGGTGACTAATCTCTCTGGCCTCATCTTGCCCACTGAGTTTTTAGTCTTATTTTCTGCCCCTGCCTTGTTGAAGAAGGGGGGTGAGAGAGTGGCACATCATGGCCATCCAAGGCTAACCCACCACAGCATAATAATCTTTGGGACATCTTAAATCTCTCTTCTGTTAAGACAGATTTCAATACATTTTTTTTTTGCACTGCCTAGACTGCATCCCAACATCCATACAATAGAGTATTCTGACACCAAATCAAGTATCAAAGTTTAATTTACATAGTTTTATTTTAAAAGTTTGAACTTTTAATGCTTGGGAAAATCACACCTGAAAAAGAATGTACAGAGAACTAATATTTGTTAATAAAGGTGAGCCTGCAGTCAAATCATTAGAAAGGATCAAATTCAGGGGAAATACATGCTTGCTTATACTAAGTCAAAAAATCAGAATTTGGGCTGCAAAAATGTTCCAGTAATCCTAAAACAGGAATTGAATATGGAGATTTTGGTTCAGGAACAATCTCTGTCTTTCCACTTACTCAAAATCTTTATTATTGTCTGCAAATATATGCGTACCGACTACCAGTTTAACAAATGTTAGTAAATGAAAGCTTACTTTTAAGCAGTTACAGTGCTTACTATCAAAAGTCCTTCCTAAACTAAAAGTAACAGTGTATTTCCTCCCACTTAAGATAAAATTACTGTGGAGAAGGCACTGATATATTTCTGCATCAGCAAGCAGTAATTAAATCCTGATTTCTTCAGAGGTACCCTGAACTGCAAATATGAATGAAAACCACCAACTGATCTTCTTTATTTTACCTTCTATTTGTTACTATGTGATGAAATGATTAATGAAATGTAAGAAGCAATACTTTTTCATACTGTGAACAGCATCTCAACAGACCTATTTCATTTCAGTCACTTTAGAAGGTTTACGACCTTGTAAGAGGATTCCTGAATATCAAATGAATAGTCATAATGCTAAATAGTTTAATAAAATACCTTCAGAAATTTCCTTCAGGCTTAAGAGACTGAAATCTGGTTAAAGAACATGACCTTAATCTTGCCAAGTTTTGCATATAAGAGAGTCAGGAAAAATAAACTGGATGCTCTTATGCCACATCATATAAAACTTAAAATACTTAAGATCTAAAAGGACAAACTAACACTATAATTTCCTACTGGAAATGATTAGAGGATTGAGGTACATAGCTACCATATTGTGAAGAATATAAACATTTTTATATTAGTAAAAGAAGGTGTGTTTATTGTCTTACAGACTCACCTTTACAATTGTGGAACAAGCTGGCCTAATTGAAGAGGCAATTTTTTGTGACAGCTTTTCCTTTACTATGTCCAAACACATCTCTGTGTCCAAAATAACATATGCCAAAAGACAGGCATGATTTGCATGTCAGGGTCAGGATACCATGATCCCATTTTTCCCTATTTCTAAGAATCTGTCCAAGAGTGGAAGAATACACTCCCTGACAAGAATTTTCATGTGGGTATTGCATTAATAGAAATTCCCTGTGATTCAAAGACGACTAAAATAGTAAATCTTCATCCACAAAACTCCTGATAATTTGGCATTGTGTGAAGGTAAAAATACATACTCACTGGAATTTGGAGATGACTGCTACTAGGTCTAAAACCCAATAGAGAAATTCCAAAAGTATAAAGTATATTTCTGCTCCAAATCAAAGAGAGTAAAGAACTAGCATTTCTCAAGCATACCATCAACATTTAAATATCTAAACTATTGTATTATGAATCAGCTGTTTCTAAAAACATCGAAGTTACTAATGTGCAAAAGAGATTAAGTTGCTATTAATAAATCCCACCTGTTCTGCCAAGTATGACAAGATTCTTGTTGAGGTTCAGGATAGAGTAATCACTTCCTTTATTCTGGTGTTTAAACATTCAGTTTCATGAAAGACAACAATGCTTTCATGAAAGTAATGATTAACAATTTAAGCTGGAGGCATAATTAACTTCATAAGAGTGTGTCTGTATTTCATTAACCAAAGTTATGAAAATACTATTAAAGGAAATATTTCCTTCTTAACATCATATTTCCAAGCAATTCTGAAAGGTACCCAAACTGGTCTTACCCTTAACACTTTCAAACCATTAATAGCCTGCTACTTCACAATTTGTGATAAACATTTCAACCTATTTCCTATTTCCTCTAGCAACTTGCTGAAATCCACAAGTACTAATTTACTGAATAAATCTGAATTTCTTGCCATAAACTTTTCTTCATGGAGGTACTCTAAAGCATCCTGAATTGCCTCTAATTTATCACATATTAATAAAAGCCTGGTTTGAAGCCAACTTCAAGACTGCATATACATTAGATTATTAGAATTTTCAAGAAGTATATATACTCAGACAACTGACTACATGAAGAGCTCCTTTCCTTTACAAAGAATTGACTCAATCCTAAATAACCTGTAATCAAAATCCAAGTCTATACTTCTAAATATGTTTATGTTGTCCCTAAAGAGATACAGAGGAGAAAAAATTAAAGGGTGGGGAAAAAAAAAAAAAAAAAAACAAAAAACAAAAAACAAAAACAAACAATAAGGAAGAGTGTGGTAGTATAAAAATTACAGTGTTTAAAGATTATGCTAACAATAATACTGCAGGTTCTTGAATTTTGGAAAAAAAAAAAGCAACATATATTAACTTCTTAGTCATTCTATGAATCAACAGAGACATTTACCACTAATTCTGCACCATCTACAAGGTAGTTATAAATTAAACAATCAAGCTCTACAAACTTTATACATTTGCATATGTGAGGATAAAATATAGTAAATTTCAAAATTGGCACAGTTACTTAAACTTCAGAAACATCATGGTATTTTTATTGACCAAAAGCCCAAATGTTTCCACTTTTAATACAGAAGGATGAGGACATCAATTCTAAAATAATTTAAAAGAATCTAAGGTTGAGCCTACTGTATAACCTAATAATTAATAATAAATTGAGAATTACTGATGACCGAAAATCCTAGTACATAAACTGTAAAAACAAGTCTTGGAATAATACCTAGGTCACTTCCTGCCCCTCCCTCCCACCTATTCGACAAAACAAATTGTAATAGTTCTGTTTAAATATAAGATTACTAATGAAGTTCCTATTTGCAGCAATAACAATTTCCCTATTTCATCAAAAGCATGGACATGAACGCTTCTTTTCCTCTAAATGCATAAGCCGTCACTGTTATGTCCAAAAATATCACATACCATACCATTTTCTTTACAAAGGTCCTAATGCTATAAAACTATTTGCAAGTGTAGGCTGTGACGGGATTTTCACCTCTCCAGGCAGAGTGCCCTGACAGGCCAGTCAGACCTACATTTGCTCCACAAAGGTGATGGATAGCAGAGTACTTCCTGAAGATTGAGGTAGAGGACATGTTGAAAAGGGTGCATTTTACATATGTAACTAGATTCCCAAAATACAGTTGAGGTATAGTTGTAAAGTAAGACTAAAGTCAGCATTTCACAACTTTTGAGTCTTTAGCTTTTTCAAGTTCAAGGAATGTATAACAGGCTTGTCTACACTCAGTGTCGCACACAATATTATCAATAGCATCAACAAACAAACTTTCAGTATAGAAGTATACATATTTTTAAGACACTCAAATGCTATTTCAATTCATAAACTTTTGACTGAAGAGACAACCAAGGAAAATATCTGTACGTATTGGTTCCTTTTTCAGAAAGGCCATGGACCAATCTATTCCATCCACGTGAGACAACATCCATTACCAAAGTATGAAGCGGTTGTTCTGTTAAACCATATTTTCTGAGAGTGGGATAGTCACATGGACTCAGACACATGAATAAGGAAGTTGAACATAAAATAAGAGAATGAAAAATACATACAGCTAATTTGTGTAGATTGGTCAGCATTTCATTTTGATCTTTAAAGCCAGTTGTATGAATTTTGCTCACAGCATCCTCTTTCTCAGTAAGCCATGCATCAAAAAGGCACTGAAAGAAAATTGGAGAGAATGGAAAGGTTTCACTGCAATTTTTTGAAGAACGTTCCAATTTCTAACTGCTAAAGCTACTTACCTGCTCTTCTGCAAAGTGCTGCCATTTACGAAGAATATCTTGCAAAAGGACCCATCGGTCTTCTGTCCACCTGCAGATGGCTGCCCACCGCTTTCCAAAGTGCTAGAAAGAAATAAACACATAATAGAGATTTGCAAGAAACACGCAATAGAGATTTGCATTTGTTTGTCTTTTTTTTTTTTTTTTTTTTTTTTTTTTTTTTTTAAGGCTGTCGTGGTTTGAGCCTGGTTGGCAGCCAACCACCACACAGCCACTCTCTCTCCCTTCTCTTCCAGCAATAAGAAGGGACAGAGAGCCAGGCTTGGGGTGTGAGATAG